AAAAAAAAAAAAAAAAAAAAAAAAAAAAAGAGGCTGCAAATAAATATATTCAAGGGTGACGTATTTCCGAGGGGAGCACCCCTGGGGTGTTTCACATTCCGCAGTTTTGCCATCCCTTCTTTTTGCTTGTTCATGTCAGTTTGCAAGTGACGCTTTAGAGCAAGTGTGGTATTTTTTAAGCAGTTTGTACGCCCCAATTGTTGACATAATGCTTTTTCTTTTTCTTTTTTTTTTTTTTTGACCTTTTAGAATTACTTCTGGAGAACATACCAAACGAGGACAACTTCTACGTCCGCTACGGGCTGCCCGTGGAATACCACGTTAAGACGGACGATGTAATGATGCTTGAAAATTGAAGGGACTAAACAGGTTAGCAATGTGCTAGAAATAAGTCCCCATATATATGTATATAAATATATGTCCGCGATTGCGTTGCTTTACAGCGTGCCTAGCACAGTTTTGTGTATTTTTTGTTTTTTTTTTTTTTGGTACGTGGAGTACACACAAATAATGAAACAGTACGGGTGGGGGCTAAAACTTTGCACGTTTGCAACCCCAAGCATTGTATTTTTGCTAATCGCACGTATTAACATATTTTTGTTCACGTTTGACTTAAAAAGGCCTTAAAAGCGTTTAATAAGTTTAAGGACAATTGAAAACGGGGGGGTAGCTGCGACCGAATGGGCGGCAAAATATTGAAAAGGGGGATAATGACATAATATGGATAATAATAATTACGATAATAATCAACAGATCATATTGTAATACATTTAATAATAATAATGATAATAGGAATGGTCATTATAGCAATGGGTTGGTGTGGCAAATAATGAGACGGATTAACAAATGGGTGGGTGAGCGAACGAACTGGTCAAGGGCTTCATCATCGAGTAATCGATCGAATGTGTTCGTTCTAGTAGGGACGTTTTGTTTAACTCAGGAAATGATCATAAGTCGAATTCAAAAAAGTTAAAAATATTTCTGTTCGATGTCGCCTTTTGCTTGTCTACATCGGTTCCCTTTGAGAATGAATTGAACACTGAATTGAGAGAGGATAAAGGGGAGTGAACACGTGGTGTGATGTTTTAAAACATAAGCAGTGGGGCATGGCTTCTAAGCGGTGCAGATGCGAATGCAGATGTACGTGCACACGAACAAACGTCGCGTGTAGTGTGCATGCGCATTTTTCGATTTACTTTTCCTTTCCATAAACGTCATTCCTTCCAAGTAGGTTTGGTCCACCTGATCATTATGTTTCATTAAATAAACCCTTCTACGCATTTCCGCGATAAGAAGGAGCTCTTGCAGCTTCTCCACTGGCCATTCGTTTTCGGGTAGCCTGAGGGTATTACAGAATAGAATTTTGAAGGGTGCAGCATGTTAGGTAATTTTCCAGAAGGCTACTATAATTAACTATCATGCAAGGCTTTTATTTATTTTTAAGATGAAGCAAAGGGGAAAAAATACACATGTCGTAGAATGCATAAACTATATGTGGACGCCTTCAGGGACCCTTTGTTGATGATAGAGACACCCTTTTTGGTAGGCTAGCAAACGCGTGATCATTTCTCATTTCTTTATGCTTAACATGTGGCATAATTCAGTTCCTAATTCAAAATAGAGGTGAGTCAAATTTCCCACGGATGCTGCGGTCGCATCTGATAAAAGAGCTCCAGCCATTTCGTAACATTCCGGGAATTTTATTTTTACTAAGCTGCTTCTATGTAGCCTTTTTGCGTAAAAGTATTCGACTAGTAGTTCATCAGTTTCGTTGATCTTTAGGGAGAGGGGTGAAGAGGTGGGTAAGGAGGGCGATAGCATATACACATACGTAGTATACTTAAACACACGCATTTTTGCATGAAATTTTTTTTTTTTTTTTTTTTTTTTT